CCCACACACACACACACAGTTATACTAAATGCAGGGTTAACTTCAAATATTTCGTTTTTTAATATATATTTCCGAATTACTGTGTATTTTTTACGCCCTAGTAGGGAAACAAATCTTACATACAACGTTCACTAACTTTTTTCCCCACTGTTTGTAAAATATAAGCATTTTAATGTTAACCCCAACATATATACTAAACATTAAATGTGTGGAATATATTGAAAGAAATTGTGCAAAAACGAACTTGAGTTAGACATTTAAATATTACACATATCTTTCAACGTGGACGAAAGTCATAGTGAGCCCGACTACGTGTGAAACATAAAAATACCTGTCGAAAGTGCGTGTTTTCTTTTCTTATAGCAAAGCCACATTGGGCTATCTGAAGGGAATCAAACCCCTGATCTTAGCGTTGTAAAATAGTAGACTTACCGCTGTCCCAGCGGGGGACGTCAAAAGTGTAATTTCACTAGAAATATGTGACTTCCAGTTCGTCACGAGTTAAAGTAGCTAAAAATCTATGTATCAATTAGCCAGGCGGTAGCACTGTTTATGTAGGGATGGCTCGGATTGTTCATCGAAATAGTATTTTAAATATCTCTTCAATAGATCATCAGAACTTTACAATACTATAGTGTTTCCCTTTATAACAATATCTGTGTCATGAGTGAGTCACAAGTTTTGGGAATTTCTCTCAATATCACAGCAAAAAGTTTGAATTTCTTGCTCTTCTTTCTTCTGCTCCTTTTTATATTACTTGATAACTCAAAAAACAAAACAATGGTGTCAACCAATTTCACTGAGGTGACATAGTTTCAAACGGTGTATCCGCTTTTATAAGTATTATTAATAACTAGTAGTAATTAAAAAAAAGAACAATTCTAATGTAAACGATGTTATCATTACCCCTTGAAGTTAGCTTTCTCACAGATATTTGGTGTTCCTTTAAAAAAGCTTAAGCACAGAGTGAAACAGGAATTACCAGCTAATAATAGATAAACAATTGATTTTAATTTATCCTATTTTTTATCTGTTAACATTCTACTACACTGTGTGCCCGTGCTATTATGTAGGGATTATGAAAATGCAATCCCTACTATCCTGTTTTCATTCTTTTTGAGGGACTGATATTAGCCATCCCTACATTTGCTTACTTTTTAAACTATAAACGTTGAATTTGATACACGTAAACGTAAAGTGTATTATATCTTAATTTATCTATAAATGAGGTTTGAAGTTTATGAATTCACAAAAAATGAGATAGTCTATACGAGATACAAGTAACTTTTACAACAAAAAATGCACTCAGAAGAAAATGTAACACTATATATATCATGAATCGTGGTAGTGGTTCGTAACTGGGATCGTCCATTTGTTTTTGTTTTTATTATTATTTAATATTGTTCCACCAGCTTACAGCAAAAATGGCTGCAAGTATTGTAATAAAATCTGGGCAATATTACTAAACCCATCATTGCCCATTGTGTAGGGTAGTGTTTACGTTTATTTGACTACCTAGCAAATAACAATGGCTGTATAACCGTTGATACCCAATCGTTTTAATTTAGACTATGGTTTATATGGAGCCTTATAAACTACTGCGTTCGTACGTGTATATAGCTGCGTGCAGACCGTAAATGTAATTTATTGTGTATATGGCAGGCATGACATGTATAATAGCGATTATTAACTTACTGTTGCAACTGTATTGATGTCACGTATCATATGTTTAAGTATAGGGTTCCTGTCCTATGGGACACGACGCTACTGACAGGATCACAGTTGTTTTTTTTGTTTTTATCACTGCATGATCGATTTCGGCCATGTTACACAAACGTCTAGACTGTCTCCCACAACAGAAATATTTATGCCGTAGTTTAAAAGATAGCACGAAGCTCAATTTCGAGCATCGGATCGGCAATCACGGTGATGGCCGATGGTAAGTGTCGAATTATGTAGACACTGTAGATAGAGTAGTCATCCTTGAAGCCGACTATAACATGGGGCAAGAATCGTTCAAGCAGGAGATGGCAATTCTAGACGAAAGTGAGGCAGAAATTTTATAGTTATATATTTTATTTAGAAAATATCCAATTTCACATGAAGTATGCAGCAGCGACAGCCCACCACAGTTTAGGGTCGTCACAGTGGAAGAGGGTCGTAGAAGTGTCACGACTCAAACTCCATAAGCAATGGAAGAAAGGGGGGAAAGTATATTAATGTAATCAATTCATAAATGTTAGTTAACACGTTTTTGACCTTCTAGAGTGTGCAGGATGTTACTCTTAATTAAGAGGAAATCTGGACATCTGCAGCAAAACTCCGACCTTACTATGGCCAGCGGTGAGGAAAAAGATAAAAGGGGAAATATAACAACCATAAGAAATATTTAAAATGATTATTTGTGTATATATATTATATTATAGTATGGCACATTGTCTTATATTTGAATTGAATATATATGCATGTATCTATACAACTTGAAAAATTTATATGGCTATCAATATTATCTACATAGACAGCTTTGCAACTTATAAAAACTATAAAGCCTGCATGTATATATACATGTATATGTCCATGCATGTATAAAACTTAAGCAGTTACAAAATACAGTCCATGCACAATTCCAGTATAGTTCAGTAGTCCCTCCAATCCAGTGTTTACAAACTCCCCATATATCTACAGGGTATATACAAGCATATACAGAACATGTGGTATGTATGATCACCATGCCTCATACTGCTCATACACATAGTACCACTATCAATGATATCAGGAGCAATAGCCATCCAATCTGCATGAAGCCAATTCAAAGGTTGTCATTGTCTCTCTCGAGAGCATCATACACCAACTACGTATTGCATTAAACTAAACTGTTTCAAATAGGGCAGCATAGCTATTATACAGACTTAAGTCCATGATGGACATAAAAAAACTAAAGAAACAAGATGATTAAAAAAGGTGGAATATAGATCTTTAAAAAAAAATATAGAAACAAGATAGGCAGCTTAAAATGAAAATATAAACAAACAAGCTTAAAGTTTGAGACGTAGTGTTGACATTATTTCCTTAAGCTACAAATCATTATTCTGACTCTATGTCCTAAAGCTGTAATAATTAGGATAGGTTAATTCTATAATTTGGACGGGCAGTAACTTCCAGCTTAGACTGAAGACTAAAACATTAGAAGTAAAATATTTTGATTCACATAAACAAAATGTAGAACGATATGAAAACAACAACAAAAAATATATAAATTATTCCACACA